AAATTCAGAAGTTACTAGTATGCCTGTGCAAGAAAGCTCTGCTCTTGAGGGGGAACAAGTTGAAGGGGAATGCCATTCTTGAGGGTCAGCTAAGTCAGCTTCAAGGGGCACCTGGTTCTAGCAGCTCTCAAAGCACAGATGTTGCACGTCAGACCAAGGAAAATGCCGACCTCGGGAAACAGGTTGAGGACCTGAATGAGAGACTGCTCAACGAGCAGGTGTCAGCTAATTCTCAAATGGACATCCTTCTTCGTACCCTTGCCTCTTCATCTGGGCCTTCCCCTTCCAGTGCTCCCTAAACTGTGTCCTCCCTCCCAAGTGTCAAGTCCTTAGTATCCGTCTTTTGCTTTTTGTTCTGATGATGTTTATGATTGGTACCTTTGTTTTTGTTGTTCTTATGTTATGGATGTGTTTGGAAACAATGGAATTTCTCCCTGCTTAATTATCCAAAATTAATGAAAGTTTCATCATTTTGTTGTGTATGTCTTGCTCTTTTGCTCTGTTTTAGTCATGATTGTGTGCACACATGTAGCATGAGTTAACTAAAGCTAGACTTTTTTTTGGCTTAAGGCCTGCTACTGATCTTTTTATGATGCCAAAAGGGGGGAAATAATTAAGTGGGAATAGGATGGGGAACAGATTCAGGGGGAATACAAAAAATGCGAATGTCATTTTGATTTTTAGGGGGAACTTGAATTATAAATTTGTCATCATAAAAAAGGGGGAAATTGATAGGTTATATGTGTACCCCTGTTATGTTTTGATGATCTAACAAACTTACTGTTATGAACCAGATAAGGAACCTGATACACATCCTCAAAAACTTAAAGATCAACAAGTCTCCAGTTGGAGACACAGCTAAACTCTTCAGAGTCAAAGGAACAGCAAAGGGAACAGATAGCAACCAGTTCCCGAGGTGACTGTACATGTCAACTCCCCCAGCTGTAAAGTTATTGCATGCACACGCAACAGTGCAAAAATAGTGCAGCAGTCAACTTTATGGGGAATGCCCTTTACCTAACTTGCTTGCATCATTCAAGTGATGTCACAAATGAATTATTAACATCAAGCAAAGGTAAAACAAAATACTTGCACATTCAAGAATTGATCAAGCATCCTCTCAATTCATCTATCAATCTTGCAAGTGACTCTCAAGGGCATCATGAACAAAGAACAACATAACAACGGACCAGTTCCCTATATCGAATTATTACATGTCCTTAGTTGTGTTGTACCTTTGTTAAAGCACTCTACTTGTAAGTCCTACTTAGCTTAGTTGGAAGCAATATGTAGGAAATCTTTGTAAATCATAAACCCTTGTGTTTGTGTCTTGGCTGGAGTTAGTCGAGTTGTAATGTCTTTGTAATAGAGTTATGACAAAGTGGCTTGTAATAGTATTGTTACAAGTTAGTGAGCAATTAAGAGGTTAATTCCTAGGTTACAATAGTTTGTAATCTAAAGTTTGCTCAGTAGTGAAGTTCAAATCCTACAAGGGTAGGTCACGGTTTTTGATCCCGTGAGATGGGAGTTTTCCACGTAAAACTCCATTGTGTCATTTACTTGATGCAGTGTGCGTGTGTTCTGTGGGAACTAATAGAGAACCTGGTTCTCTATATAGTTTGGTGAACCCTTAATTTCTATCAGGAATCTAGTAATCAGACAACTGGACAAACTAAGTACTCCCCGGGGTCCATTTTAAGTGATTTTTTAACTTTTTCTTGTGGTCCACATTATTTGATTTTTTCAAATATCAAGAAGGAATTAACCTCCTTTTTTTAAAGTTTCCCTTGGAGTAAAGAGCCTAAGAATAGTTTGTTATATTTCCAATGAGCAAATTAAGATTAATATGGTCAATTTCATTGTTAATTAATGTTAAAAGATAAATTTTTTAATATGCGTGAAAAGAGCCAAAAATTATATTTTTTATCAGACTGAACTAAAAAGAGAACAAGTGATAAAACAAATCCCAATGGACATATAATTAAATAGGATATAAGATGGCATTATTCGGAATCTAGTAATCAGACAACAGGACAAACTAAGTAGCAAAAATTTTTTTTACCAGATTGAACAAGAAGAGAACAAATCAAGTGATAAAACAAATCCCTATGGACATATAAATAGGATATAAGATGGCATTATTGGGCATCTACGAATCATCACTGCATGAGGAATCTAATAGTAATTGATTAAAAAAAAAACTGTACAAAGTTGTAATCATATACGTAGCTTCTTTTATTCAGTACCAGGACAATGGCGCATGAAGTCGCCACCAATTATATGGCGTTTTTTATTCAGCACTAGGATATTAATATATTTCTGTTTACATCTATATCTGCCATTAATGAAGGAATAAAGTTGCCCAAACCATTAGCCTCTCGTTCTCTATTTTTTATATATAAAGAAGAGAGTAAGGAGGAGAGCTTTCAGTTAAAGGCTAGCTTAAGGAAGTCTCTTCAATTTTGACTCTTGAGGTACTTGTGTTTTCACCAAAAATCTATATTTATCTACCAGAGTTTTGGATTTGTTCACTCCTGTTTTAATTACTCCTACTAATTAATTAATGTTGGCGTTTGAGTTGGAGATTTTGATGTGTTTAATTTATGATGGAAAAAAGATGTTGCAGTATTGTTGTTTTAATCGGAAGAAATTTCGCTTGAGGAACATATAATCTTCTTCTGCTTCTATAATAAAGTTGAGGAAAACCAAAAAAAAATCATTTCAGTAATTGGCAAATTAAAGCCCTCCCCGATAATCAATTCCTATTCAAGTACAAACAAGAAACTAATGAAAACCATCTGTATGTATAAGTTTGTTTTTCTTTTTTGGAAACTGAATGGGGATGCTCATTCTGTTTAAGGATACAAGGAGATGGCTGCAAGGCCTTCTCACTTTATGATTATATATACTAATCAAACAGAAGACGAAAAATCAAACTATCTGTAAAACTATCTTGAAAAAAATCACTGCTGTAATTTTGAAGGTTGCATGTATAGTTCCCAAGCCTTCCGCCAGTAATGCCTCGAACAATCCTCCTCCATCTATATACCATCAACATTTTGCAACTCTAATTCATATTGGTGTTTGTCAAGATTAGGAATTCTGCTACCAAAGATTTGACCTCTTATTCGTTCCTTCTCCTATCTATTTCATACTTGTCTCCATCTTTTACTACATTGCTACCACTTACTTCCACCTCCTTCCATCCCCATATTGTTACCTAGCATGGCCTACTTATTGGATCGTCCAAGGTTGTGTCTGCACTGGAATATGCATGGGTTATTGCCCATGAATGTGGTCATCGTGCCTTCAGCGATTACCAACACGTAGATGACACCATTGGTTTTATACTCCACTCTGCACTTTTAGTGCCATACTTCTCTTGGAAATATAGTCATCGTCGTCACCACTCCAACACTAACTCGATGAAAACCATGTGCCCAAGCTTAAAGCCGAACTAAGATGGTACACCAAATACTCGAACAATCCACTAGGGAGATTACTCATACTTGGCTTCACCCTCACTCTCGGCTTCCCTCTGTACTTTGCCTTCAATATCTCCGGGAGACCTTTTCATCGCTTTGCATGTCACTACGATCCATATGGCCCAATATTTAGCGACCGTGAGAGGCTACAAATCTACATCTCAGATGCATGTCTAATTGCGACCACTTATGTGTTGTATCGCGTTACTTTGGCACAAGGGCTAGCTTGGCTTGTATGCATCTATGGGGTACCCCTCCTAATTGTGAATGGCTTCATTGTTTTAATCACTTTATTGCACCACACTCACCCTTCATTGCCCCATTATGACTTATCCGAGTGGGATTGGCTAAGAGGAGCTCTAGCTACCGTAGACAGAGACTATGGTGCGCTAAATAAGGTCTTCCACAACATTACCGATACTCATGTTGTGCATCATCTATTCTCAGACATGCCACATTACCATGCAATAGAGGCAACCAAAGCTGTCAAGCAAGTAGTAGGAGAGTACCACCAATTTGATAGTATTCCATTCTATAAGGCAATGTGGAGGGATTTAAAGGAGTGCATCTATGTGGAGGAAGATGAAGGATCTCAAGACAAAGGTGTTTATTGGTACAAAAACAAGTTTTGAAAAGAAGAAAAAAAACAAGGTTTGAAAGACGAATACCAACAACTACTTACTTGGAATTGGTTGAATGTTTAGCTTGAGTCATGGCAAGTATTTTGGATTGTCTATTTTATATTTGTATTGTTACTTTAAATATGTAATAACTGATACGCGGCGCCTTCCTGAGATTCCTTGGAAGGGCGACGTACGGTTAGGCAACTGATGTCAATGCAGTTGCTGTCCGCCAACTGAGGTCCCCTCCGTACGCTAGACGAGATTGTCAGTGCCGTACGGGAAAACCAATATCAAGAGCAATTGAGAGAACAGAAATGAGAATTCAGAATGAAAGGAAGCTTGATTGCATTAATGAAAGCTATTACAGAAAAGCAACGCGGTGTCGAGGAGGAGAGACACCAGTACAGAGAATTGCTTGCTTGCTAGAAAGTTTTGATTGCTTGATCCCCCCTAATAGTACTTTAAAAAAATAATCCAAAGTTACAGGAGTAGACTTAATTAAGCTAGAGAAACATAATGGAAGTACATGAAATAAAACTACTCTATTTTTACAATGAAAATGACTTAGTCTTCTATAAGGCAGCAGCAGGTCCGTTGTCAGCAGCAGTGTCTTTGGCATCACGGTCTGCGCGCGCGGCGCTGTTGGTTTCTGCCTGCGGCTTGGCGCTCGCGAGGAATATCGGTGGGGCGACAGAGGCACCTGCGCGCTTGTCACTTGGCGCGGCCAAGACCACGGGGCCGTCCGTGGCGCTAGGCATTGGGAGGTTCGCTAGGACGCCACGGGGCGCGCCCAAGGGGTCATGGGGCATGGCTGGAAAGCCGCCCATGACATAACTAATGTTTTGGTTGTTACTTTAAATTCGTTGTATTGTATATTAAATCATCGTTATATAACTATGAAAATGCCTATTTTATATAACAACCAACTTGTGTGATGGATATGTTATATCTAATGGGTACTCCCCTCAGCTCTTTTATAAAAGGCACGTATCCATAACTCTCTGCAGTTGCATACCTAAACAATGGAGCCATGGAAAGAACTGAGCGGAAAAGTAGTGATGGTGACAGGGGCGTCGTCAGGAATTGGACGTGAGTTCAGTCTCGACCTGGCGAAATCTGGTTGCAGGATCATTGCTGCCGCTCGTCGTGTTGACAGACTGAAATCACTCTGTGACGAGATTAATTCAGAGGGCCCCCGGCGTGCAATCGCCGTCGAGCTTGATGTCACCGCCAATGGTGCTACCATTGAGGCCGCTGTACAAATAGCTTGGGATGCATTCGGACGTATCGATGCCTTGGTTAACAATGCTGGCCTTAGAGGTAATCAAATAGCAGGAAATTTTATTTTGACAGCGGCAATATACATATATATAGGTAATGTGCACTCTTCACTGGAGTTGCCAGAGGAGGAATGGAACCATATATTTAAGACAAACCTAAGAGGGGCATGGTTGGTGTCAAAATATGTGTGTAGACGCATTCGCGATGCTAAACAGGGCGGAGGATCTGTTATTAATATATCCTCAATTCTTGGTCTTAATCGTGCACCATTTCCAGGTAGTCTTGCTTACGCTTCTTCGAAGATGGCTCTTGACATGGTCTCTAAGGTATATACTCCCTTTGTTCCTCTTTATCTAATAAAGTTTGAATACGCGCGGAATTTAGGGGGGGGGGGGGGGGAAAGCTTTTGAAACTTGTATAATAAGTCACAAATATTTGTGTGATGTAAAATGGAAAGTTTAAAAAATAGAAAGCTAACATTCTCTTTGGTACGAAATAAAAAAAAAATGGCACTACATAAAGTGAAACAAAGAGAGTATATATATATATAAGTATATATTAATTTATATAAAAAAGTTAATGGCAGATGAAGGCCCTTGAATTGGGAGTATACAAGATGAGAGTGAACTCAATATCACCAGGAGTTTTCAAATCTGAGATAACAGAGAGCCTTATGGAAAAGGAATGGTTCAACAACATTGTTTTGAAAACCGTTCCTTTGCGAAATCTTGGAACAGTAGATCCGGCTTTAACATCAGTTGTGAGGTATTTAATCCATGATTCTGTTAGGATTTGCCCAGAATTTCTAATCTATTGGGATTCTCTTTCTTGAAGGAATGAAAAAAGACTCCTAAAAGGATTAAATCTCCTTAATATGTCTTATCCTTTTCTTGAAAGACAAGTTTTGCACATCTATAAATTAAGAATATCTACTTCTCACAAGAGCACAAAAAAAAATATCCACAATGTAGTCATTAAAGAGTTTTGTTTAGGGGGAGATTTTTCTCTCGATAGTTTTTCTTCTTTTATATTAGTTTGATCATATGTAGATCGATTGATCAAACCATTATAAACTATTATGCTTAGTTTAATATATTTTCCTTTTGTCGTCTGATTTATCGTTCACCAAGCTTTGTATTGTTAGTTTCCGCATGCACCATGTTATTTCGATCCCAACAAGTGGTATCAGAGTCAATGGTTCAGAGTCAACGGTTGAGCGAGGATGAAGACAGATTCAATGCGTGTTTAGATCAAGACGATAATGAAGATTTATTTAACATGCTACATGTGGAGATAAATTTATAATCACAATTGTATTCAAAACGTCTGCTACTGCATCTTTATTGGAATAAAAACTCTTTCTAACTCATATTTTTAATACTTTTAACCAATGCCAGTTTTAAGTCATGCCTACTTGCAACGCATGAGTTCCAGTGCTAGTTTTAACTCACGCTTTTTTTTAATGCATGAGCTTCTTTCACCCCATGTTTATTCTTAACACATGGGCTCCTTTTAACCCGTACTTGGGTTTCTTTTAACCAATACCAAGATTTTCAACCTATACCGATTTTAATCATGGCAAGCAGCAGTGATGAAGATTATGTGAAGAAGGTGAATCAACTTTGTGAAGAAAATTCAGGTCAAGGGGAGATTGTTAGGATTTGCCCTGAATTTCTAATCTATTGGGACTCTCTTTCTTGAAGGAATGAAAAAAGACTCCTAAAAGGATTAAATCTCTTTAATATATCTTATCCTTTTCTTGAAAGACAAGTTTTGCACATCTATAAATTAAGAATATCTACTTCTCACAAGAGCACAAAAAAAAATATCCACAATGTAGTCATTAAAGAGTTTTGTTTAGGGGGAGATTTTTCTCTCGATAGTTTTTCTTCTTTTATATTAGTTTGATCATATGTAGATCGATTGATCAAACCATTATAACCTATTATGCTTAGTTTAATATATTTTTCTTTTGTCGTCTGATTTATCATTCACCAAGCTTTGTATTGTTAGTTTCCGCATGCACCATGTTATTTCGATCCCAACAGATTCTTCAAAATATGTATCGGGCAATGTTTTCATTGTGGACGCGGGAACTACAATACCAGGTGTCCCCATTTTCTCATCACTCTAGTCTCTACAACTAGCTAGCTAGATGAAGACTTAAAGACATCGAATCTGATTGATCACAATATATTGGATATGTACGTTGGAGGAAAAAATAATGCATGCTAGTTTTGTCTCATTGTATTTGTTTACCTCGAAAACACGAGTAACAGTTAAATTTGATTTGTGGTTTTAAAGATATGTGATCTAGTTCAATACCAATTAATAATCAAGAAGTATGAAGTATAAATGAAAGAAATAAGTGAATCAAACCAGTGTTACTTTAGCAGTATCGACCTCGAGCTTAGTGACCTCGAGATGAACCAAGAACAATAAAGTAAGAACAGTAAAAGATAAAGGACAATTCTGATGAACAATGAGCGAAAAGTAGAGAGTATATTCTTTGTCAATGATTAGATGATGATTATAAATGATTGGGGTCCCCTTTATATAATAGGGGAACCCTAAATAAGGTACATTTCCATTTACAGTAAGGAATCTTATTGGGACAGCTGTCTAACCGTCTAGTACAGAATCGTACAATTCTATTTCGAAATTTGCGCCATGATTTTGGGGACGTGGCAAGAATCTCGCTCATTTTGTTAGAAATCCATAACGGCATTATTTCGGGCTCGAGCATACTCGGCTTCGGTATTCATCGTACTTCGATCCTCGGGCATTGCACCCTATCTTCGAGTTCGAGTCTGGTCCATCGGGCTCGAACTGGACCTTGCCTCAACTCGGTCTTAAGACGACCCTCGAGCCTGTAGATCGAAGGCATATGATTTTGGTCGTATACAAATAGTCCCCGCGTTTCTTAGAGTAGGTCGATAAGAAACGATTTGATCTTCGATGCTCCGATGCCTTGATCCTGATGTCAATCTAGTGATGTTAGCGGCTGAAGTGACTGAAAGGTCACTTTCGTGCAGTTCCCAAAGTCATTAATTAGGGGCGACTGACGGTCGGCTATTTGGCTTCCCCAATACGCTTAAGGGACTTCTATAAATAGGCTAACTTCACAATTTTGCAAACTTTACTTCTCAAAATCTCATTAGCTCCTTCAACTTTTCTGAGTTCACCCTTCTCTCAATTTGTTCTTACTTCATCATCACCCTTTTCTCTTCTCTCGAATTTCCAAACCATAATGGCTAAAATATCTAAATCTGTTCTCCAAAAAGAAAAAAACTCTTCATCATCGTGGCCGGCCAGAAGTAAAACGGTGGTGCTACCTCGTATTGAGGAATATATTCCCCCGCCGTGTGAAACAACACCCGATTTCAAAATCGAAAAACATGTATCGACACCAGGCCGATATGAGCCCATGTCCCGATACATCTGTTTGATAACCAAGGATGAGCTCCAACGGGTGAAAGGACTGCAACTGGGAGAACAAAGATGTAGTGATCCCTTCTCCCGAAGAGGATATCACTACTCATAAAACAGGGTACCTAAGCGTGTATACCTACCCATTCACGCTGGGCCCTGCCGATCCAGCTCTGGGTCCCATTGATCCAGTTATTCTTGATTTTTTTCAACAATACCAAGTGACGTTTGGCCAGATCTATCCTTCATTCCGGCGCATCGTCAATCTGATCAGATTCTTCTCGAGCCAGGTCGAGGGAATGCCTTTTACCCTCGATCATCTGATCAGGCTATACAGCCCTCGTCTTTATCGAGATAGCCTGATAAAGCTGCAACGCCGATCCATGAAATCTCTCTTCTCCAGCATCGATGAAGACGAAGATCGAGGATGGATGAGCCGATTTGTCCGAGTCAGGACCTCCGACCTGATTCCTGCCGAGAGGATGCCATTCCCCGAGGAATAGAATATGAAACGTACGTACATGCTTATCGATAGTAACTTTATACCTTGTTTTCCCTTCTCTTTCTCGACCTCATCTTTTTCTCGGTCTAACCCCTTTCCGATGGTGTAGCTGTTGCTTGGTTCCCTGGTGCAGTCCCAGACCTCGAAGGTTGGGTTCGGAAACTAGTCTCTACTTCTTCGTACGCGGAGCGCAGCTGGCGTGACCTGGCCAAAGGTCGATGGGAGGCTTAAAACCATGATGAGTTCTCTTGTTTGCTTATTTGTGTTTCTTAGAGAAATACTTACTTTGTCTTTATGCAGGCCTAGGAGACGCCGTCGCTATGCGGCCGGCCCTGCCCGGTGAAGAAAAGATCCCAAAGCCTTCCAAAAAAAGAAAAGAAAAAGGGGATCGCCTGCAAATTCCCCGAAGCCAAAGAAAAGAAAGGCTTGAAAGCCCAAGGCAAATATTGTGGCCCTATCTCCAGGAACGGCCCAACGCCTTCGGGACGAGAAAGAAGAGGGGGAAGACGACGACTGCCTATTGGTAGTTTGAAAAAAGAGGAAGCACTAGCGCTTCGAAGTCTGCCGAACCGATGGTGGCTGATGTGGTTCATTCTAGGACTGAAGAAATCTCCGAGGGGATTTTGAGCAAAGTCCCCGAGCCATCGGGAAGCAAAAGAACACCTCGTCTTGGAGGTCATTTGGACGGTGGGACCGAGGGGCCCGGTCCCGAAGCCCTTCAAAGAGAAGAGAATGCCCCGAGTGGATCACTTGGGTAATTAACGTGGATGAACCGCCGCCTGGTCCTGAGTTCTTCGAGGGCAATTCTGAGATGATCGGAACATGCGAAGTCCTGATGTGGGGACGAGCCACGAAGGGCACGATATCTTTCGAGAATGCCTTGCAGGGATCGAAGATGGTCCCGACCCAGATGCTTCTTTTATTTTTTATGAGGCCCAGCGGATCTTCAAACAAGTAAGTTTCTTCCCTTAGGATCACTGCGTTTTATCCTTGTTGTTCTGAGTCTAACTTTTCCTTTTTGTGAAGGCTGTGACGCTCCATCGAGAAGCATTTTCCAACTCTCGAGCTGAGCTTGCTCGATGTGAGGCCGAGCTCAAGAAGCTCTCGGAAGAGAGGGGTGGCCTTAAGATCCTCTATGTCAAAAAAGAGGGGGAGATCAGTGACCTTCGAGCCGAACTGGCGAAGGCTCGTCAAGAACAGACCGAGCTTGTCGAAATTACCCTTTGAAGTTTTGTTATGCATTTGTCCTATTGATCGGCTAAGATGGCGAGCTGGTGGAGCAGCTCCGAGAGAAGCTCAAGATGAAGAAGGCCGAGACCCTGGGGTGGAGACAAGGCATGGACCGTCTCGCCTCGGAGAAAGATACTCTTCGGGAGTAGCTGGCTTCAATTGAACGCCAGCTTCAGAGTGTAAAGGAGGAAAGCCTGGCCCGAAGCCGCAGAAACAAGGAGCTCGAAGCTAAATCTGTTGCTGAGCTTG